CTTCATAGCCAGTGGCAGCAGCAGTAGTGGCATCAGCTTCCCCGCCCCCGATCCCTCTCCCCATTGCTGCACTCAGGACCTAGGCTGGAGACATGCACACCCTCCAAGCTTTGCTCCCTGCAAAGAGCCAGTGGCAGCAGCAGCAGTGGTGCCATGCCATAGCCCTGCCAGACCCTGTGCACATGGGACACATCAGATCTCAGTCGCCACTCACTTGCTCTGCTGCTGCTGCTGCTGCTGCTGCCTGCTGAGGGGCCTAATCCTTCCATTTTTGGAGTGCCCTTGCCCTGCCTAGTGATACTGTATACTTCTACAAAAATTCAGAGATACAGACATTTCCTTCCTCCTGCCCCCCCTACCCTACTTGTGGCTGACAGCTCACAGCACTGAATTCCAGCATGCTTCTGTGTTAGAAGGAGGCATGGAGGAGCCTGCTGAGGCACTGGGGTTGCTGGAGGAATGTGACTTACCTTAACTCGCAATGGCATGTGGTACAGAAGTTTGATAAATCACTCTAACCTAAGGGGAGCTTTACTAGCTTTACTAGCCACAGCACCACACTAAAGGCTCATGTTCATCTTGTGGTCAACCATGACCCCCAAGTCCCTTTCATCTGTAGTGCTAGCCAGCATAGCACTACCGAGCCTATATGCGTGATGCAGGTTTTTCCTCCCAAGGTGGAGAACCTTGCATTTTTCGGTGTTAAATACCATCAGGTTCTCGTCTACCCATTTCATGAGTCTGTCCAGATCTGCCTGGATCACCCTCCTGTCCTCACGTGTGGATGTTTTACCCCAGAGTTTGGTGTCGTCAGCAAACTTGGCCAGTCCACTTCTGACACCAATGTCCACATCATTGATGAAGATGTTAAACAGTATAGGCCCTAGGACAGAGCCTTGTGGGACCTCACTGGTCACAGCGCACCAAGACGATTGGCTCCCATCAACCACCACCCTCTGGGTCCTACCGCGGAGCCAGTTCCCAAGGTAGTGGATCGTGGTGACGTCAAGGCCACAGTTAGTTAGCCAGTTTAGCCAAGAGGTGATCGTGGGATACCAGATTGAAGGCTTTTTTAAAGTCGAGGTATACAACATTGATCTCTTCCCCTTTGTCCAGGTGATAAGTCACCTGGTCATAAAAGGAAATGAGATTGGTCAAGCAAGACCTACCTGCAACAAACCCATGCTGGGTATCCCTCAGGATATTGCCCTCAGCTAGTCTGTTAAGGATGGCCTCCTTGATAATTTTTTCCAAGACCTTCCCAAGAATAGAGGTCAGGCTGATGGGCCTGTAGTTTGCCGGATCTACTTTCCTCCCTTTTTTGAACATAGGCACCACATTGGCCCTCTTCCAATCTTTGGGCACTTCACCAGAGCACCAAGAGCTCTCACAGATCCATGCCAGGGGCTGAGCTATGATGCTTGCCAGCTCCCCGAGTACCCTTGGGTATAAACCGTCAGGGCTGGCTGACTTGAAGGTATCCAGCCTGTCGAGGCGTTCCTTCAGGTAGTTAAGTAGATATCTATTTTTAAAACAAACATCTTCTAAGAGGAAGAAAGAGAGGGGCTTTTGCTTTACCAGCTTGTCGTCTTCCCCACTCCAGGGCTAGGGACAGAAGTTACACATAAACCAGTTTAAGTGATCAGAAAGTAGTTTAAGCCTGTAACAGAACAGAAGGTCAGTGCACAAACCAGTTTCAAAATGGCCAAAACTGGTTTCAAATAAATTTGGTTGAATGTAGTATCAGACTTAACTGATTTGGATCAAACTGATTTATGAAACTTCTGTCCCAGACCCTTTCCTGGTTCAAGTTAAATCACAGTCCCCCAGCATCCCAGCATGCTTTCTAGCCCTGAGCTGGGCTGTGCTGTCTGCTCCAGAGAGCAGGGCTGATCCTGCCCCTCTGCTCCTTAGCTGGAGCAGTGAGCACTGGCTGACAAAGGGCTGGGGGGGTGGGGGCAGGCCTGACTGTGGATATAGCCCAGTCTGCAGGGGGGAGGGAACTGCCCCCTCCCAGGCAAACCTTGGCTGGAGTCTGGGGCCAGGGAGGAGGGTTAAACCCCACTTGTCCTGCTCAAACTTACTGCTGGCTGCAGCTGTGGACTACAAATCCCCGAGGCACCTGGAAACAGGAAGAGGACATGATGAGCAACCCTGCAGAGTCCTGGTGCTATGATTTTGGACTGTAAATCCCAGAGACCTTATGGGGCAGCAGGAAGAGGAAGTGAACACACAGCCCGTGCTGGCTACATATGAGAGAGTCATGCTCTAGCACCCCTGGCTTCTGGCCTGAGCTAGTTTAGGCATGTGGCTGCATTTGCTAAATCAAAGGTAAATGTCTGTTCACTTCTGTTTCAATTTAATCTGTGTATCTTAGACTAACCTGCAAAGACTGAATCGAGTCAGCCTCAGGCTTTTTGACTGTCTGTACTTAGCTCAATAGGCTACACTCTGCTGAGGTAACCACAGTGGTCTTAACACAAATGGCTGGCTCCTGGTGTGTACATCAAATGCATGTAGCTATGAAAAGAATCAAAGCCATTCCCATTGGAACTGGTTTCTATAGGAGCAGGTTTGTACCTAAGGTGCATTGCAGCCTTCACTTGCTCCCTGCCCCATACCTTACAAATGTGGCTGAAACCCCACAGAAGAGAAGAACAGCCGCTAACGACTTCAAGAAGCCTGTTGCCTGAGGAGGACTGTTCGAATGCCCCTGGTGCAGCAAATGCTATATACCAGCAGTGCAAAATCTACAGCCTGTTGGCTGGATCTGGCCCCTGAGGTGACTAGATGCAGCTGACAGCATAAGGGATCAGCAGCAAGCAGTTTGGCCTGGCGTGTCCCCTTTTCTACCCTGCACTGTTCTGCAGATCCCCTCACCAGCCTTTCCTGCTCTGCTTTCTTCCTTTCCCGGTCGGCTCCCTCTGACATTGGCACCTCCCTGGCTTCTCTTTTCTTCCCCACTTCCTGCACCAGGGTGGTGACCTGCAGTGCAGCTGGATTGCAAGGACCTGGCCCACTACTCTAAAAGACTGAGGATCACTGTTATACACCTTTTAAAAGGAGTATGACTCTCTCAAACACCAGACTTAGATCCCTGGCTGGTAGGGAAAGGAGGGTCGGTGGTGTGTCTCTGGTTACGCTCACACTTCGCTGTGCTTCATTTTGGTGTCTGGCATTTCTGGTAGAGCACACCTAGATGTCTTCTAGGACAGGGGCACCAGAGAAAGCCTCCTTCTTCCCACAACTGCACACCTGTGAAAGAGGGGGCAGAAACTTGCTGTACAGCTCTCCCTGGCTGGTGCCTTTTGGCAAAAGCCCTGTGAAAGGAAGATAATTCTTGCCTAAGAAAAGCATTAACCCTAAGGATTTGCTCAGTTTCACAGGGTCCCTTAGAAACAAATATATTTAATTTCTAGTGTCTGATTACTGCTTTCATTTTCATTCTCTTCTGAAAGTGGGGAACAGAACATAGGATGTTTCAAGAAGGAATAAAAATGAAAGCAGGAAACAGCGTCGGTCAGTGGATAGTGCACTGGAGTATGACACAGGAGCAGGGCCTGCGAAAGACATTTTGGGGCCTGGTATGTCCCAGCAGGGAACTGCCCTCCCATTTTGGCAACAGGAAATATGGGATCTCTGAAGACCTAGACTGGCCCTCTACCTTCTACAGAAAACCATCTCTGGATCTATTCCATACTCATCATCATTAGGGGTCCCCTCTGCTTAGGGGCCTGGTACAGTTGTGCCCCTGCTCTCCTTTTCTAGTAGGCCCTTCCCAAGAGACCTGGGTATTGTTCCCAGCATTCCCATTGGCCCAATGGGCATCCTTGGGCATCTCTATGCTTTTCTTGTCCCCATGTGGCGGTGATAATACTTCCTTCCTTTTTAAAGCCTTTGAGGTCAGCTACGAAAGGTGCTATTCAAGAGCTTTCTTGGTATTCTCATCTGTAGAGTAGTATTTTATAGAAATAATTAGGCTTGTAATAAAGTGTCTTCAGAATATCAAAAATAATTGTGCATGTTGAGAGTAAACACCATCGAAACAATGGGAGCTGGGAAGAGTACGGTGCCTGCAGTGCGTCAAGATGACATTATGCAGCACTGACATTTACAAAAGCGGCCTGCTTCTAGATTGTATTTGCCATGTTTGCTGAGGTTCTTCTATAAAACGAAAGTAATGGATGAAGGAACAAGAAAAGTATTTCAATTTTATTTTTTTAACAGAATGAGAGATTGGGTGTTAATAACAGTGTTTTCCCCTTGAAAGCCAGGCTGCATATCTGTTTAGGAGGTAGTTACAGAGATGCCAAAGCTTTCTGCCATCATATTCAAAGGAAAATTATCAGGCAGGAAAGTCATAGAGCAAAGAAGTTGAAATTATCTTTTTCTCATGGCAGTATATTTCAGAACAGTAATTATTGTTTATCCTCTCTGGATATCGGAAGTGTTGATAAATATAATTATTTTGTTTGCTTTCCCTTGACTAATGCTTATAGCTTAGGTGAATCAATGGTGGAACTAATGTATTTAAGTCTTGTATTAATGAGAAAAAGAATTTCTCTGCTAAGGGCCTGATCCTGCCAACACTCGTTATTTGGCCTGGTGCTAACTAACCGATAAGTCATCCATTGACATTCAAGAGCGAGTGGGGACAGGTTTCAGCTGAAAGACAGACATTTTAAATGAGCGCCGTGGAGCTTCCAACCTGAAACAGCCCAGGTCTGAAGGATGAAACTCCAGAGGCTGAAATCTTTGTGTCTCTTTTTGCAGGGATCCCCAGAGTCTGTATCCCCCTGAGGTTAGCAACGCCAAACTGCAGTATGCTGGATGGGGTCCAAAAGGGCAACAACTGGTAAGCAAATCTAAGTGTACAAATGAGTTTGTAAAATTGTTGTAATTCAAGAGGTATACTCTTCCTCATCTCGTTTCTTGGAGCCCATAGGGCACGTGGATGTCTGTTCCCATCATTCCCATCATGGAAAAATACTAATCCAGACCCAGACATTGTGGCCTCAAAGTGGGCATTCATCAATGCACTAGTCTGTCAGCACACAGCTCACTAAGACAAGCAGAGACCTTGATGTGTGGGTGTTTTGGCATTTTGGGCAGGTACCTACTTAGGCCCACCATACAAAATAGCTAAGTAGAAAAAAAAGTAACTTACAGGAAAAGCCACCAAGGCTGTTTCATATTTACCTCATACTGGCTTTACTTTACTTTGTCTGTTGTCAAGGTCCACCCTACCTTGACCCTTCTGATGTTCAGTTCTGCATGTGTCAAAAAGGGCAAAGGGCTAGTTATATCGATTTATCTCTAATGGCACCTGCAAAGAGCTTGTTTTAACAAATATAAGTTGTGTATTTATATCTTAAGGAAAGCAAACCAACAGATTTTCTTTTAAATATAGGAAACTAGCAGTATGTCAATGGCAATCAGAGATAATAGATCTGATTTTCCTGTTGGGCATAGAGGCAAATTCTCTATTTGTACCTGCTTTATACCTGGTTTATAACATTTCTGCTTCCCTGAAGCTTCTCCAGACTTGCAGCTCTGTTAAAAGTTTAGGCACAGCTGGCAGGGGGAGGCCATCCCCAGAGGAGCAAGGGATGTTGCAGTTGAAGACTAATGTGTATTGGCCAGTCCATGTGGAGAGTGGGTCCAGAGCTGGACTGGATTTGCAGTAGACTTGGCCCATGATGGTTTGTGAAATGGACATAGGTAGATAGTGAGGCAGGTCTGAGGGGTTAGAAAAAAAAGGAGCCCAGGTGGCATACTGTGGTTCAAAAACCATCATGGATTCTTCATTGCTCATGAATGAAGGCTTCCACACCATGAGAGTCATGAGATACCAATTCTGTCGTCCGCTATCTTGGAATTCACCCATCTTATAACAAACGTGAGCCCATTTTAAGCATTTTTACTAGTCATTTCTGTTGGAAACAGTAGAGCTTATAGAGTTCAAAGGACGCTTTTGAACAGTTGATCATATACAGTGTCTGGTGGCATATGTTTAAAGATACTTTCAGTAATCAGAGACTGCCTTTAAGGACATTTGAAGAACAATAAGAGATTCCTCCCCTCCCTTGCCCCTCCTCACATACATTCATTTGATCATTATTTTAGTTCAGCAAAGGAAGCAAAACAAAAGTTCCAATTTTCTAATCTGAAAGTTGACTCTGAATTGTGCTAAAGATGTTCTCTAGTTCACAAGTGCCTCTCTTCGTCCTTGGGTCTTGGCTGTAGCCATGTTGGTCTAAGGACATAGGCGGACAAGGTTCTTGGGGAAAATCTGATCTCCTTTTAGACCAACTAAAATAGTTGGAAAAAGTCTTCTTGCAGGGTTTTGGGTACAAACACCCTTCTTCAGGCAAAGGGAGTGTCTGCAGTTGTCCCTTAGCACATTGTCCAGTTCTGAAGGAATACTGTCGTTACCTGCCTTATGCTCTTTGAATGCTAGCAATTCCTCCAGATTCATCTTTAGAGCAGGGATCATAGCTATGTCACAGCCAAGCACAATGTGTTTCTTAAACACATGCTGTAACTGTTCAATTATATAACACAAGGAGAAATGTCTTCCTGTGTTGGCTGACATCCCTGTACCACTGAAATCATTGGAGCTTTTTTTCATTGATCTCATTAAGAGCAGATTCAGGGTTTTAATACCCTGAAGCGTTGGGTTTGGTAGACCTTGTTCTAGCTAGTGTAAGTGAGGCTATTCTCTTAAGCATCTACCATATTTTCTCATGTATAACACACTCCAAATATCTCACACACCCTGTTTTTGGAAGGACACAAGAAAGAAAAAAAAATCTTACCTTGGAGTGGAGGTCGGTATGTTGGGTCTGGGGTCTCCGAGCCTGGGGGTTGTGTGGGGAGACCCAATCTGGCACAGCGGTGATGGGGCTATGCAGCAGGTCTGACCCAGCAGCAGTCTCAGACTCAGTGTCCTGGGTCCAACCCAGCACATGGCTCTAGAGCCAGTGCATGGAGTTGGACCCAGCTTGCTCAGTCAGACCTGGTACTCAAACTACTGACCAGCCTGTATGCCAATCTGATCTGATGTGGCTGCGGGGCTGGGGAGGTCCCCACAGGTGTGAATATCTGGCAGTAGGGAGCAATCACAGTGCTCCAACACTGCTACCATTCTGCCCCTTCCCTCCTCCCACCCTCACCCCCACTGCCAAAATATCAGACCTGTGGGGAGCCCTTTTCTTTGCATGCAGTGTGCACCCCAGTTTTCCCCAGCTGGCTTCATGGAGAAAGATACAGGGTTATATGTGTGAAAATACCATATCTGTTACATGAAACAGCATATCCCTTTGCCACTTCTAAATGCACTGTCTTCTATTTTCATTGCATTCACTTGTTCTTGTATTCTGAGATGGATCGAGGATTGCTTGAGTAACCTTTTGCATACTATTCAGTTTGCGTGCCTCCTGGTATATTTCTTTCCCTGCCAGCCTCAATGGTCTTGGATTTATAAACAAAATAAAGCTATATATTTTTAAGGAAAACCTAGTATGCCAGTAAGGCTTTTACATGCACTAACATGGATAAAACACAATCAACATAGCTTGACACAGATTAGTTCAAAAAATACAATAACATAGATGGAGGGAATATACTATGCTCATTATTCAACAGCACTTCCTAAAGTGCTGCAGTACATACCGGTGATTTGCATCCTAGTGCAATCAGTGTCTGCGCTGATGAAGGTCTCTGGTCGCATCATTGATTCTCCCTTTGTAGAAGCAACTTATTAGAACCCAAAACCTGTTCTGTTTTGCAAAATGGTTGACACGTTTCCTCTCCAAAGACTTGCCAGCTTGGCACTCTCTACACGCGCCAGAAGAAAAAATCCCAGGATTTGATCTCTCTATCAGGAGATCATGAGTCAGAGTTAATTTGACTTGGAAATCAGGAGTCTTGTGATTTTTTCATGAGAGTTGGCTTTACTGTGCTGTGCTGGCCAGAATCTCTGAGACCACTCTCCTCTCCTATTCACAGCACATCTTTTGCCAACTCCTGTCTTTCATGTGTTGGGAGAGAAGGGGTAATGGGTAATGTTTTCTTTGTACTACTTGCTTATTTCCTGCCTTAAGGGACTGCGTCTCCCTGACTAGGACAGCTTTCCAACTGGTTTGTGCTGCTTTGGAGCCAGGACAGAATTTGGCCTCGAAGGCTTCTTCTTTTCATAGCTATTTTTTTTAAACACCCTCCCCCACTTCCCTCCAAGGGGCAGCTTTTGGCCACTAACTTCTGCTTCAACACTGGCAGCTCTTTCTTGGGCATGCCTAATGAGACTGGAAGGGGAAGAAAAGTGAAATCTGAAGCAGAAGCAAACCAAACAGTCTGCATCCTTTATAAAAATCTTCTCCCAAGAGCACTGTTCCCTTTTTCCTTGCTTTCTTTTGTCTTTTCCTGTTATGTCACCAGTTCATTTGAGATTAGAAAGTCCTTGGGACTCCCTACTCGTCTGTGCCAATAGAGCTGTATACATGGAGCAAATAGTGTCGCTGAGACAATGAGCTTGAGCTACAAACGCAAACACATGTCACTTCTGACGCTTGAAATGAGTGCTTTGCCCCAGGTTTTCTAAAATTTAAAACCAATGCAGTTGGCTGCCACTCAGCGATACTGGGGCCTGGACCAATCGCTCTTGCGGTCTCTACAAAGCCTTTCCATTAAGGTCAAGAGCCTGAGAAGAAAACTGCAGCTCATAAAATGTTGCTTAACTACAGGTAACTTAGCAAGCCCAAGCTTGACCATAAAATGAATATGAGAGTGATGCTACAGTTAGCAGAGCAAACAATTTGCTGGCATGCATCAACCAGCATACCTCAAGCAAAACTAAGGAAGTTATTCTCCAGCTCTACTCGGCATTGGTGAGGCCACAGCTGGAGGACTGCATCCAGTTCTGGGCACCAGATTTCAAGAAGGATGTGGAGAAGCTTGAGAGAGCCCCAAGAAGAGCCACTCGTATGATTAGAGCCCTAAAGAGCAAGCCATATGAGGAAAGGCTGATACATATGGGACTGCCGAGCCTAGAAAAGAGGAGACTTTGCAGGGATTTGGTGGCAGCTTACAAATATATCAAGGGAGAGCATCATGGGTTAGGTGAACAAGTATTCAGCAAAGCACCCCAGGGGAAAACCAGGAGCAATGGTCATAAACTCCTAGAAGAAGGTTTCAGCCTGGATGTAAGGAAAAGCTTCTTCACAGTTCATGTGACCACACTCTGGAATAGACTCCCGGTGGGGGTGGTGCAGGCACCTACCCTGGAGACCTTCAAAAGGAGACTGGACGCACACCTCGCTGGGGTTGTTTGATTGCAGCAGTCTTTCCTGCCCGGAGCAGGGGGCTGAACCCCATGATCTCAAGCAGTGCATAGCCATCAAGAAGGCTCTACAGGGGTAATAAAACTCTGGGTGAACTTGGTGCTTGAGAACCATGCGAGAGTGGCACCCTCTGTTTATCCACAGGAGAGCTGCAGCATGAACAGCAACAGTGTAGGTTCCCCTTCCAGCATAGTCAAACCCTGAGCTTGTGCAGCCACCTCCCGGGAGTGAGTTCAAACCCATAGTTAGACTCTTGAATAGAAGTCCTTCGAGAATGAAACTGGAAATCAGGCCACTTTTGTCTAGGTGCCTGTAGGGATTTCAGTGACTAACTTTTTATGCATCCAGTTTAACATTTTAACTTAAAAGCAATAGCCTGCACCTATTAATAGCAACATCTTGGTGCTATTTTACTTGTAAGCAGCTGTTGCTGTTAAAGGGCACACCATGTGAATACATGGTAGGGAAGCGATACCTAGGAAAATGTGGCTGGCAAGCAGCTTTTACTTTCCCA